ACGTGTCATGGGCGGAAAAATGGCTGCGGGCCACGTGTCAGGGCGGAAAATGGCCGCGGATCCTGTTCGTCACCCGAGGCGGAGTTCGCAAACCGAAGCAAATTTTTGCGGCTGGGGCTGGTCGTAACCCGAAAAGTTTGTTAACAGAAGCGTTCGTAACCCGAGGTTCCACTGTATCTGCTGAAAAGAAGGTTGGAAGTCATTGTATTTCTTCTGTTAGGGTTTTTTTGTTTCTTGCATTTCTTTCTCCTTTTGATTTGTCTCTTATTCTTAGAATTTTTTTAAATATAAACAAACAGTGGGAAGAGGTCAGATGGTGCCCTCATAAATCAGGGCTTGGCAATTCCTCTGCCCGTTGGCCCACTGGGAATTTTGATTGTCCTGGGCCTGAAGGCCATGGCCAACAAGAAGACAAATTGTTGAGGTTCCTGTCATTCGCTGCCAAGATTTCCTTTGCCACTCCAGCTTTGCATTTGCCCCATTGGTGCCTGTTTCTGGCTTTGTTTGCTCGACCTCCGGTCCATCCAGCTGAATGTTGAAGATACACATGAAGTAGCTTCACCATCCTTGGAGATCTGGCCAACAGAAGGGGGAAGGCACCTCAAATCCAAGCAAGATTTGTCTTTTCTGAAACAGCTCTGGATTTCCGAGCTCAAGAACAGGAGGGCCTCTTTAATCTCGATTTGCCATCTCTCCACCTCCTGCCTTCTTAGCTTCCAGGTCAGTAGGTCCACCAGGCGACAGGGCCACTGTCACGTGCATTGTCCCTGCGCCGTCCCTGGCCGCTGGGAAGTTTTTAAGCTGGCTGTCAGATCGCCAAGCGTTCCAAAATTAATGGCCCTGGTTTACTGTAAATCTATATCTTTTAACAGGTTTATCCCCCAATCAATTAATTCTTGTAGAAGGTTTTCGTCATCCCCCCTCCTCCCCGATTGCCAGGCCGTAGGTGCAAAAATGGATTTATTTCCATAATGGATCCAATGATAATTATTTTACTATTTTCTGGGGGAGGGGCAGTGGGTGATTTATACTGTGTGGTGGGTGCAGATATTCACCCTCTGTGGTTTTTATGATCTCAGCGGGCGCTGTTGCTTGCCAAGTTGGGGGGGGCCAGGCTGCAATCAAGGAATGACTTAGAAAGCGCAGGTGTGTACGTGTGTGTGTTTTAAGTGGTTTGGCTTTTAAGTCTCTCGGTTTGCAGGCAGAACTTTAAATGCCTCGCTTTAAAGTTTGCAGAGGAAGGAGAATAGGAAGAGGTCTGCCCTGAATCCACAGCAGCAGATCCTATTCTGAGTAAAGAGCAAAGAAAACGAAGGGGATCTAAACAGAATTTCTGACCCCCAGTTGCTTCGCCAAAGCAGCAACCGCATTTTCGCCAATTAGCCAAAGAAAGGAGCAACTTTTGCTGAAGATAGGCATTGAAGGGCTAGTAATGGAACAGCTTGGTGATTATAAACATTACTTAATAATCTTCCTGCTGAAAGAATCCATACCGTGGGTTTTTTTAAAAATATAATTTTCATTCAAGATCTTTAAACGGATAAGGATAAAGAAAATTAGAAAGATACTTAAAGAGACAACTTCCGATCTTCTTACAGCGGTTATAGACAAACTTAATATTGCTCCTCCTCTCTTTAAATTACATATATAGGTCACTTCTTGGTCTCTGAATGGCTTTTGACCCGCTTGTTCTTTATCCTCTTCCTTTGCCAGGCTGGTACCTACAGCGCGTTTCTACCCTCTGCGTATGCACTGCGTTCGGGCGCTAACCCTGCTGTCAGAGAGCACGCACACGTTCATTCCTGTCCTGCCCTTTATTTTGGAGGTGAGTGTCAGTAAAAACAGATTTTGCAAATTGTACACCACCCGAGCGGAAGCGCATAATCCAAGCGGTGCCCAAGACGATTGGGATCTAGGGAAAAACGATTGCAAGGTCTGTATCTTTATTATAAACAGTAAGAAAGACGTGAAGCGATATTAGTGTTTAAGATACAGACCGTGCGTAATCGAGATGGATTGGGGTGATGTTTTGCAAAGTACATAAAACCAGGACATCGTTTTTGTGCTCGGACTTTATGGCCATGGGGTGCAGACCCCTAGAGATGGAAGAGTAAGGGGTGAAGTTGGCTCCAAGTGAGAGGTGATGCTTGAAGGCTGTCTTACATTTATTTTCCTTTCCCTCTACAGTTGCTATCTCAGTAACCCTTTCCGTGTGCTTAAGCAGGGGCTTAAATTCCCTGCGGTTTCCAGATTGCCTCGTCAGCTCTCAGGGCATGGATGTTGGCTGGCAGTTGCTTTGGACTCAACTTTAGAAGTTGGACTCAACTTTAGAAGTTGAGTGGACTTCAACTCCCAGAATTCCCCAGCCAGCATGCTGGCTGGGGAATT